TATTAGGTAGTACAAAAAGTATTCGCCGTTTTTTTGGTATAATTTTAAACACAATTTTTCTTTATTGAAAATTAATCTTAATAGATAAAAAAATATTCGTCAATAGTATTTACGATCTCTTGAGATTTTTTGAATAGTTTCATTATTTCAATGGTGTAGAACTTATGTGGTTTATTGACGAAGCGTTTTTTGTCGATCAATTTTCTATCTTTAAGAAAGTTTTGCAGAAACCAAAGCTAATGGCAGTGAGTTAGTATACGATGCGGACTATATGGTGAATGCAGCAAAACTTCCCAACCATGTTCTGTTCCGTGTCAACATAGCTGTGTGTAACCTAGCACTGCCAGAATGGATCATAATACGTTTTCTGTTTCTTTCAAACGGTAGAGTTATTAGCAATAGAGGACCAGGTTAGAGCAGCTCGTAATAGATAATTTTCTTCCAATACTACCAAACACTGAACATAATCTTGTTTGCCGCCAATATAGGTTTTGAAACCTCCGTTTGTGGGGTGTTATCAACATTTCATCATAATCGTTTACGTTGGTATTCACGTATTTAATTTATTTTTCTATCGCCCATAATGATTCGTTTCAGAAGTGATCATCTCGGTTCATTTGTTACCTCATCAAAAAAGTGGGTTCGAGGATGAACCTCCGTTCTATTTTATATTTGTGTGTTTGTAGTACAAGTCACTGGCGTACTATGATCCATGCTACTCTCTATTTATACTCTACTTCGGCTTTCAAATCAATAACATGATTTGCTGCATTTCATTAAAATGATTCGAAACATTAAACTTTTGGTAGTTTGATATAATATTTAAAATTTTCTATAATGCTTTGATTGGAAAAAGTGTAATATGAGCCACTATGAACCCTTGATAGTTGAAAGCAATTAAGATATGATAAATAAGACAACCTAAAACATATCAAACCATGATGATACTCACATCTGTGATTAAGACGTTTTACTAACATACAGAAAATGAAACTACAACTGCAAACTTTCACACGAAAATCGATAATATAAAACATACATTCGCATAATTTCTTTATATGTCTATTAGCAACAATCAAATTAGAACTTTCTGATCGAAATCTAAAAGTATTTTGTAGTAAATAAAAATATTTGCTTATTTACAATGAATTTTAACTCTATTGAATGGGAATCCATTTCTCTTAAAATGTGTTTGTTCTGTTTTGTTTAAAGAAATTTATATAATATAATAAAAAAATTGATAATATTGTAAACATATATAAGGCTATAGCAACAACACTGACCTAATCCAAAACAAAATATTTAAATCTGCAATGCACTCTATAAGCTTTTCATCACTTTATATAAAATGTCTTTGTGTATAGAATGAACTAGAGAAAGATCCGATAGTTCCGATAGATCCGGACAATGTTTAAAACTTTATAAATAGTTGAAATAATAAAAGTAGCTGAATAAGGCAATTCCTGTTAGATATCATTGTAGAGCACATGTCATATCGTGTGTTGTTTATTCTTACATTTACCTTATATTTGTTAAAAAAAGTCTTAAAGAAATTGTAAATATTGGTTTCTACTGTCTGTTGATTTACTTTGTTGCAGTAAAAGATTCGCTATAAACTGCAGGATCATTGTTTACAGGCGAAAATATTTTATTCTCACAGCTTCACATTAGAGTATAGCTATTATTGACGGTTTTAACATACTATTAGTTTCACAATATCAATATCTAACATTTTTATTCTGTGACTTTCCGGAATGCCCAGAATCTTAACTTAAAGCATTGCATTTAAACATCAAACTTTGATAACACTTGAAATCTATTTCATATATGCCATCTATATATTTTATATACATTTCACATATATCTAAATTCGAGAAATATGTGACTATGTCAATAGGCAACCTTACAGAAAGTCGTCTATTACAAATTAATTTACAGATGTTATATACTTAAGTTAATGGAGTCAATTCAAAATAAATGAGGTTCTATTATATTTGGATGTATTGCTTTCTTGGTTTGGTAAATATCAATTAATTTTATTTTTTTTAATAGTCATTTTCTTAATCTTATGAAAATAAAAGCTTGAAATAATATATCAATGCCATAAAGTTCAATACCACTCTATTCAAATCTTAAATCGAATTCCTCTCTGTTCACAGACACGCATAACTTAAGTGCTGACATTTTGTTATTTACTCGTAATTGTTATTCAGTGTACGATATATCTGGAAAAAAATAAGGCCCAATTGCAAACTGACTGTACATATCCGAACATATCCCATCCAGTATTGTTTAGAAGCTCATGTTGGTATGTAAACAACACATTCCTTCGACGAACAACGGCTGAAAGCGAGAAGACGAATAATTTCGCTTTCGTTTTATGTCAGTGTTCGAGGCCAACTGTTGATATCCTGTCGTTGGCTTCGGTGCATTAATAATTCTGTCTGAGAGAAATTTTATGGCTTTTGAGGATGCTTAAGTGAGTACTTATGGGTATACATACTCGAACTGAAATATATGGATACGCAAAAAGCAGTTTAGATGTGTAGTACAAAGAACATATAACTATATTGGTATATGATAACGCAGTACTAAGATATTAAAGTATAAATGAATAATTAAAGTTCAATAATTATAAATATTAAATTTATAATCTTCTCACAAATTTCTTAATTTAATCCTAAGATAAAAATATAATAAAATGTATTCCTATAAATAAATAAGATATTAAACTACAATCAATAATTACAATTTTATAACCATAAATATTAAATTTAAAATCTTAATTAAAATTATTCATATATTTTTAATTCAACCTTGAAGCAAAAATTTATAATATATTCTTATAAATAATTAAGATATTAAAGTACAATTAATAATCAAAATTTAATAAACATAAATATTAATCAACCCTAAGATAAAATATAATAAAATGTATTCCTATAAATAAATAAGATATTAAAGTACAATCAATAATTAAAATTTTATAACCATAAATATTAAATTTAAAATCTTAATTAAAATTATTCATAAATTTTTAATTCAACCCTAAAGCAAAAATTTATAATATATTTTTACAAATAAATAAATATGCAAATTTAAAAAAATATATATACACGAACATTTTTATAAATACATTAAATAAATGCTTATTTCAAAAATATTAGCCTAGTTACATCTAATAAGGAAAAGCAGCTAATTATATTAATATTATATATAAAATAATAATTTTTAGACATTTTTTGTTAACAAGTATATCAATCGAAAATTTTGCACTCTTTTTAAAATAATTTAAAAATTAAATATACTTTTTAATTGCCCTTTTCCATAATTGCTTACCCTAAGATCCTTTTAGATAAAGCTGTAACTTAAGTAATAATAGCACAGTTCAATAATATTCCTTTTTTTTATAAAAATGTTTAAAATACACTCCACCTTCTATAACTCGAACTTCTATAACCCGAATCGTACTAAAAATAATGTAACAGGGTTTTAGAGAGCAAATTAAATACAATTCTGCTTCCATAATTTCAACTTCTATAATTCGAATATAAATATTGTCACGTGCCAATAGGAATATAGGAAAGTGCATTCTATAATAATAATTTTTGTTTAAAGTATGAATCAATTTTGGTGTTAGGGGAAGTCCCTTTTTCCAAACTAAATGTTTAATTTTTTCTTTCTTATCTTCCTTCCTTGTGCAATTGCCAGTCACTAGCATTTGCGCAAATGCATAGAATTGGCATTTATTCCGCCTAATATGACTTCTAAATTGCAACACCTTGATCACGGATTAATTCAAAATTTAAAATGTAACTATCGCAACATAATCGTAAAGAAAACGCTAAAGTATATAGAAGCAAACAATAAGAAGGATATTACACTTGCATAAATCATATCAAAATATTACGGTAATAAGTTTTAGAAACCTTTTTTTTATTAAATTTGATTTTAAGACGATATTATGACGGTAGTGGCTACTTTACTTAATATAAGCTTTTGTATTTAATGGAGGGGTTTCAAACAATAGTAAATTGTAACAACAAAATTTTTATATATTTTCAATTAATTGAATTTTTGGTTGACCATACAGTTGTTTCAAGTACTGTCAAATATCCATCAACTGTGGTTATGAAATTATATCTTATATTTAATTATTCCTAAATAATTTGGACCGTTAGACAGCAAATATCAAGAGTTGGACGCGTACCTTGCCAAATTTGAAGTACAGAGTCAGCGTTCCTTAGCCAACTATTAATGTCTTATTAAGCGTATTTAAAAAGTTTTAACAAATTACATAAACACCCATAAACAAATTTATTAAGTTTTATTTAAAGATTAAAATGAATTGATAATACAGATGTCACAAGCTGTCTGATTTGAGTGATTCAAGTTCAAGTTAAACACAATGTGATATTGTTTTGAAGTTTTTTTTTATTAGATTTTTTAATATTTATTATATATTTATTAAAAATGTTAATATATAATATTTATTATATTTAGTCAACTGCTATTAATAAATATTTTTGAAATATTGTATATAGATATTGTAAATATTTTATATATAGATTTAAACTATAATAGAGCAAAGCAATTTAAGACCCTTAATTAATAATAGAGCAAAGCAATTTAAGACCTTGCTTAACTTATATTGTGACTTATGTGAAAACTGGTCATTTTAGGAGAGTCAATCTAATAATATTAAAAGATACATTGGAACTAATTCTTTTATATTTTTAGTTGAACATAAATTTTAATTTTATATCAGTACGGTATATAACCATTATATATATTTTAAATAAAATTAACTAACATTTCTAACATCGAAATATTTTTTTTTTAAACATAATTATATTAATTAATTATAATTATAATTGATAAAATAATATACGTCATTCTTTTTTATATTAACTTCTCAAATACTAATTTTTCTAATTAACAAACTATATCATTATGAGATACTATAACTACTTACTGATCAACAGTTTTTACTACATACATTTCTGAATATATGCATTACAGACATATATATATGTATATATATATATATATTTCGTTTGTAATCTAAACATTTCGGAATTGTATTCGTTGCTCATAAAATTTTATGACCATTTGTGGAGCATGTTTATTAAGTGTTGCAGAGTGTAAGACATATAATTTATCATGTCCAGCAAATTTGACTGCAAAATATATATCACCATGAATCTGTAGAATACTTACTATTTTCTCCAACTTATATTTGGATGCAAAGCCATTTATCTGAAATATGAGAATAGTGAGTACAAAATTTTCTTATAATAAACTGCCAAATAATGGCAAGTTTTTTTTTCTATAAAATACGGTTCTACTTCATGTTAATCTAAATAAATTGTCATTTTTTTACATATAGTATTAGTACTTGTAGACTATTTTCTATTACATCATCTTCATTTTTATAACATACTCAAATCACACATTTTAATGGGTTAGTGCTATTACATCGACATTAAAAAAGTAATTCTCAGAACAAAGTCTGTTTTCAAAGCAGACTTATAATATGCATACAAACTAAATATTATTGTCTGTTTCTTACATATATTAAATTTACAATATATGTTTGATATATATAGATATCGAATGACAAGATGTGTCATTTAAAAACGAAATAGAGAACTCTGGTGTTGTAGTAAATTATTGTTTAAAAGTATCGAACATTCAAACACCTAGAGTAAACTCGAATTTAAATACTTTAGACATTATGATCGAGTTTGTCAACTTACAAGAACATAATATGATGTTCGAACATTTTCAGAAACATACTTGAGCATCAAATGGGTCGAAGCGTCGATCAGTTCGAATATTTGAAATTTTAAAATTAATAGTATCTGTTAGTATATGAGCAGATATTGCTTGGCTTATCCTCAAAGAAACATTTTATTATTAATAGCGCTTAAAGGTAGTTTTAGTTCTTAGCCTGAGCAACACTTGAAGGTACGCCCATGGACATAGATCTGATAAAGCTAGGAGTTTCTTCCATAAGCCTAATAGGTTGAAACAAAATAATTATTAAGGGGGACAAATAAATATGCAATAATTGATTAAACTAAATATTAGTTTTTTTTTTAATAAAAACATTGTGGTGATATTGCAATGATAAAGCGAAAATGCATATCACTGAACAATCACCATTTACCGAGAATTTGCAGACTGCAGACAAAAAATGCTAGTTCTCTTTGGCGTAATTTCTTTTGAACATGGCAATTAGATTAATAAGACAAAACAGATTTCATCACTAATCGTTACTTAAATACACACCATGCAAGCAAATAAAATAATACATACGAATGGATTGTTTGCATATTTCCTCTCAAACTCTGCCACATCATCGGCAATGTCTTCTTGTAAAGATTCCGCAGGTTCCCAAGTGCCCTGTTGAATAGGATAATCAAGCCATTTTATGAAGAATTGCTTTATTGCCATACAATATAAAGTAATTTAACTTCTCCAACCACACACAAAATATACTTTAAAACAAACCTTTTTTCCCTTCACAAAACGGGCAGCTCTTATTTCTTCAACAATGTATTTGCGTTTTGGCATTCTTATAAAATCGATTTTCACTTCTAAGAAATTTCAATATATATTGAAATGTAAAAAACGTTTATACACGTAACGTTGCTCATTCAACGAAGATCTCGCACGCAATGAATAACAATAAGAACTGTTTTTAAAATTGTTGGCGCCGATCCTTCGCCATCTTTCCCATTTTTATGTTCCACAATATTTTTAACTGCTATTGCTGTAATATTGCCAGATTTAGAAAAATAATAATATTTATGTTTTTATATAGTGAGACCGAGTGCGAGTTCGAGTAAATTGAGGGAAATAGTAAATTATGTCGGTATGGCAGCTAATGTTGCTATTTACCAGAATTTCGATTAGAGTAAATTAGATAAAAATTATCTAATTTGTGAACATTTTTTAAGATGTTTAATAAATATATAATAAATAATAAGTTCAATAAATAAATATTTACATAAGTGCCGTGTAAAACATTCCTAGAAAATTTCAGTTTACTTTACCTCAATATACTTGAACTTGCACACAGCCTAAAAATGTTTATTTTGTATATATAATATGTATATACAATATATATGTATATAATGATCTATATATGATGTATTATGTACAACACAAAATAAACTTAGTGGTAAAACTAGTAACTAAATTGTAATTACGCGAAATCAACGCACCAAACCCATAAGTTTAAGTGTTTATGTTCTAATACCATAATATAATGGTATTTTAAAAAGCCCAATATATATTTATATTCATAGAGATTATTCTTCTACAATACGTTTATTGCAACATTATTATCAACCAAAAAAAAAAACAAAATATGTAAGATTTTTTTTAAATAGTTTAAAATTTTTAAAATTCTTTTATTTATTTCACCCTACAACTAAATACGTTCCACTATTTACATTCCACTCCAACGATTTGACATTTGTCATGAGACAGGTCAGCTGACCTATCACAGTTATCCCATTGCAGTGTATATTTTTTCCAACGAAAATTGTTGTATTTTCGACGAATTTTTGCAAATTAAGAAAAAGTAATACAAATCTATTGTAAAAATGTCCGGAAAAGATAGGCTAGCAATTTTCCCATCTCGTGGGTAAGTTTTTTTATTATATCGTTTGAATCTAAATTCAATTTTACTTATTGGATTAATTTGCCAACGTCGTAAATTGGTATACTATAATAAAAAATTTGATGGACTTGTTTAATATTTTTCAGTGCTCAGATGTTGATGAAATCACGTCTGGCTGGTGCACAAAAGGGTCATGGATTACTTAAAAAGAAAGCTGATGCATTGCAAATGCGTTTCCGTATGATTTTGAGTAAAATTATTGAGGTAATTAATGAATTCATAGTAGGTGGGTGGGGGGTGTTGTGGTGTGCTTTTGATTAATTTCTATAGGAAATTTGAACGTAGGGTATACGCTATACTTCAGAAAATTTAACTTTTATATCAAGTTGTGTAATATGTAATGATCAAGTGATATAAAATCTAACTTCTTTCAATTTATTATTCATTATTAGAACTGCAGAGAAATTTTTTATAGTAGAGAAAAAAGGTGACTTGTAATAAAGTTGTCAATTTAATGCTTAAAATTTGTAACTAAAATTTTTATCAGAAATCAATACTTACTCTTTTAGTTGGCCATTATAGACGTGAGTCCTCCTAGGCTCCGCCAACTAGTCAGAAATCAGTATTAATTGCAGAATTTTATTCCAAAGCAATAACACAATAAAATATTTACATATGGCAAGAAAAAAGGGTCTTCAATATTTCTTAATTAAATAAATAAAGACACAAGAGTTGCTAAAAATAAATCAACTACAAATGTCAATCGATAGTGCGATAAATTGATATACCTAATTTAGAATCCATTTATTTCAATTAGGATTTTAGAAAGTTTCTTAATAGTGATGTTTTTGTTGTTGTAACTTACTGGGACCAGCTTGTGAAGTTCTTTGGGAAGTGTCGAACGACACTAAGTCGTCGCTGGCGATAAGTGGTTTCGGGACGTAGACCCGGCTGTTTTTGGATCCATTTACAGTGATCACAAACATTTATTTAACCAAATGTCTCGAAATTAAAATGATGAACTCACTATACCTCTTTTTTTAAAGAGCTATACTTTGAACTTCTCCTTATATAAAATATATATGTATAATGTATATATACAGACAAACTTTCATAACTCGAACTTCTATAACTCGAATTTTTTATAACTCAAACTAAATAGAGTGCAACAGGGTTTAAAGAGCAAATTACATATAATTACAAAAAATTTCTTTAACTCGTAGTATCTATAAGTCGAACTTTTTTTTGCAAAATGGTACTTCGAATTATGGAAGTTTGATATCAAAAAAGTACCATATTTTTATTCGTACAGACCAAAACTTTGATGGGTGATGTAATGAAAGAAGCTGCCTTTTCGTTAGCTGAAGCAAAGTTTGCTACTGGTGACTTTAATCAAGTCGTTTTACAAAATGTGACCAAAGCTCAAATAAAAATTCGCACAAAGAAAGATAACGTTGCTGGTGTTACGCTGCCAGTATTTGAGTCTTATCAAGATGGTTCAGATACATATGAATTGGCTGGTTTAGCTCGTGGTGGTCAACAATTAGCAAAACTAAAAAAGAATTATCAAAGTGCAGTTAAGTTACTTGTTGAACTGGCTTCACTGCAAACATCATTTGTAACTTTAGATGAAGTTATAAAGATCACCAATAGAAGAGTTAACGCCATCGAGCATGGTAAGTCCATCAATATGATATATGTAATACAAATACTAATAATTAAATAATTTATAATTTCAGTTATTATTCCTCGTATTGATCGTACTTTGGCATACATTATTTCTGAACTCGATGAATTGGAACGTGAAGAATTCTACCGTCTAAAAAAGATTCAGGATAAAAAACGTATAGCTCGTGCCAAAGCTGAAGCTAAAAAACTTGAACTGAAACAAAAAGGCATCGATGTAGAAGATGTAGTCAATATAATCGATGATGGTGATGATGACGTACTCTTCTAAATAGAAAATTGTTAGGCGCTTGTTTAAAAGCAATGCTAAGCGTTTGTTTATATACTTCTTATAATTATTGCTATTGTTTTAAAAAATTTTAACAATAATAAGTTATTGTGAGAAAATCATTTCAGTTACAACAAAAACAGTATTTTTTAACTCATAAAAAGTACCGTTTTAAAAAAAAATTTTTCTTGTTTTGTTTTTTTAATTCTAATGTATAACAAAAATACTAAAATTGTACTACTTCTGATTGAAGAAATTCCATATATATATTATATTATAATTATTATAATAAGTTGTTTGTGTAGTTTGTGCCTACTTGTATTATATTGTTCTTTTCAAAAATTGTGAGCAGTTTTTCACGTACTGCTTGCTTTAATAATATGCAATAATAATTATAAAATGAAAATACAGTTCATATATATAAATATAAATGAATCATATAAAATTACAAAATAAAATAAAAGAGTTTAAAACATATATTATGGAATTGCTTATTAAAAATTTAATTAGGTTTAAACACCGAATGAGCATATGCATACATATGTATACAGTATAGTAAATTATAATATCTCCTTTTATTAAATTGAGAATTATACATATTCTTAAATAAAACAACAAAAAGTTTAATTTTTTCGAAGTATATATTTTTATTATCTTTTTTTTCTTAATCTATGTTTATTGTTTTATAAACAGTATTAACATTATAAAAATTTTACTTGTGGTTAGTGAGTATTGGCGACTAATAGTACTTCCGATACAGTAAATGAATAATAGTTTCGTTTATTTAACTAAAATTATTAGCACCCCAAGAATTAAACTTAAAATTAATTTTTGTATTTAATATAATATTATTTTTAAATAGCATCAATTTAAATATTAATGAAAGAAAGTCAAATTTCATTTTATTTTTAAAAAATAAAATAATTCAAAATTCTTTCATCTTAGTTTTTTGGTAGTGTAACTTAATAATTTTAATTTTTTACAAAATCAGTCTCTTGAAGCGGGATTAATAAGTTAGGAGGTAAAACAAAAGTCCAACAGATTTTTTTAATTTTGTTTTTGAACTTTGACTGTTGGATATTTTAACAAATAGCACTTGTCCACTTGGGTAATATTGAGTATTTCTAAATAACTATTCAAATAACAATTATTTTAATTAAAACTTATATTAATATTTTTAAATTAAATGTCTAATAAACCCTTCCATATGGTAATGTGTTGGGATAGTATGGTATAAGGATTTTGCTCCCGAAACGTGCTGAATGCGCTGATTCACTACTGTAAATAGAAAATAAAATTATTAACAAATAAAAATACATGCAATATAGTAATTTCTGAATATAATAAATATAATTTGAAATTTTTTTGTATATGCACTAAAAAGTTTTTAAAGGAACATACTTGAAAACAAATAATAAAATAAAAAAAACGCAGAGTATATCAAGAAGACAGATAGGCCTACTAGGGTAGGCAGATAGGCCTATTAGGGTAGGCAGATTTCATTTCATTTCGGAGCCACTTATTTTTTCAGACGACTGACAACAACAATATAAAAATAGACGCATAAAATAGTAATCTAAAATAAGTAAAGAAACATTGCCAATTCAGTGGAACACAACAATATTAATGTGGAGTAATTGATGGTTCTGAAGCTGGCTTGGAAGATAACTATTTTGGTGGGATAGTGATAGTCTGAAAAACATATACCTTCTGCTCAAAAAGTATCACGCACCATATTCGCCAGATCTTGCGCCGCGCGACTTTTTCCTGTTCCCGAAACTCAAATTTCCCACACGTGGTAAGCGTTTTGAGTCCATTGAATCGGTTAAAAAGAATTCGCCGAAGGAACTAAAAGCATACCTGCACGGGCCTACGAAAAATGTATGGAAGATTGGGTTAAGCGTTGGCATATGTGTATCGCTTCAGAAGGAGCATATTTTGAAGGAGATAAAATAAATTTGGAATAAAATTTAAATTTGTGTGTTTTACTTTTGAGGTACTTTTTGGGTACTTTTTGAGCAGATATATAGGTATATTGGGGATTAGCCGAAGTAGACCACGAAACGACTTTTTTGTACTTCGAATTCTCGGATGTCGTTATTGATTTAAAGCTAAAATAGCTTTCGTACGGATAACTACATCTCTTGTTATTGCAAGCAGCTTATTTAGCTTGAGATTTGCTGCCAAGTCATTGCAAACTCAACGGTGGTCCACAACAGTCATCCTACTGCTTGCCAGTGCTGGACATGGGCACAATATGTGCATCGCTGTCTCATTTGCTTCTAGACATAATCTGCAAGTGTCTTCCTCAACAAGAGTTATCTTTTTGAGGTGATACTTGGAGTTTTCATGCCCAATAATCAATAAGGTCATTCAACTTAGAGTGCTTCGCGGATAGCAGAGCACTTTTATCACTTCCCTGACCAACGGAAAAGTGATGTGTATCTGACCAATTCAAAACTATTTAAGCATTATATTTTCATTTAGATCTTCATATACTTCAGTTAAAAATATTAGGGAATTTAGTATTAACAGATTCTAAAATATATTAATGTTAAAGCTGCAAAATGTTCGAATATCACAATTTTCGAGTAGCTTAAGTATAGTCTATCTTCAAGGTATATAAGAATTAAATACCTTAAATGTTCGAAAGAGCTGAAGTTGCTCAAAGTTGTTCTAGCAATTTGGACAACTCGTATATTTAATATTAAATTTATTTTCGTTGTTTTACATTTAACAACAAATGCTCCAAGAATATAATATGATGTTCGAACATTTTTGAGCTCACTGTATTTGAGCAGTTGCCCCGAACATCGTAATACTAGAAGCTAATTGAAGCTTGAATCATATTTGAAGTTCCAATTAATCAGTATTACAGCACTTTATTTCTCATTTACTTACCTTGATGAAAACATAGAAGTGCACATTTCAGCACGTTGCAAGCGATTTCCATTATGTGTTCGAAGAGTACATTCCCGGTTGGTTCTCCTTCGTGATTTAATAAGTGAGCATAATGCAACAATTACAGCAATCAAAAATATAAAACCTAACACACAAAATGATATTGCCAATTTGGAGACGGAAAGGCACAACGTACCATCTGCTATATGTTGTCGTAAATTATGCGTATAGTCATCTATAAAAATGATTATTAGTCATCAATTATTTAATTTATTAAACCTAATGAAAAATAAATAAATAATTACTTACCACTTGTGTTAAAACGTCGATCATACCGCAATCGATCCACCTCAATTTGCGGTGCTGTCACCGCTAACGAGTTGAACACCTCAATACGCGCCAAATGCGCGTCTGCAGACAAAATTAATTTCTCAGCCGTGTGACAATTCACCTGAAACGAACAAGTAAAACAGTTGTAAAAACAATTAATTACACCGTGGAATTATAAATAAAAATATGTAATAAATTCGTTTGCATAATATTTTTATAAAACAATCAAATTTAGAATTAAATTCCTCTATTTGCAGCTAATTAAACCCACAAACACTGCGTTTTTCCCCGCGACAGGTTTGGAAGTCTACTGCGGTTTGGGTGTTATTGTACTGGAAATGCTTGAGCGCCTACAATTTACGGATTTTGGCAGTACGCACGCATTACATGTCTTTCGGTTTTGGTTGCGCATCGGAAAGAGATCCAAGCGAGGTGAGTACGTCACTTTTCGCTTATAATAGATGTATTAGTCTCGTAAAGCCTCAGTTTGCTTTCGTGCAGAACTGCAAAACAAAATAAAACGGGGAAACCACCAAGACAGCTACTATCGTAACGCTTTGTTGACTTTTAAGACATTTCATTTCAAAACAAATAAACCAAGAAAAACAATTCAAAGTACTGCAAATGTTTATGTTTATTTTAAAAATTTGCAAAGTTTATAAAACATTACAAAATATTTACGCGCTTTTTGAAAAGTTCGCAAATTGCAAATATCATAGAAATATATCAGTAAATACGCAATACTCAAATGCAATAAAAAGAAGTAATTTTAAGTTTACATTGATCTAAAAAAATGTTTAATTATTCATGTTTTACAATAATTTTTAATAATTTAATCATTAATTGAGTTTTATATAGTAAAAATTATTTGCTTAAATTAATTTTGTACTTAACCAATTAATAAAAAATACCTCCAACCAAGAGTTATTGGTTTAGTACATTGAAACTAAAGCCTTACGATAAGAAAGGCCATTTATTATAATAAATGGTATTTTTTATAAGTGGTATATTTTATAATAAATGATTATAATAAATACCAAATATTTTATAATATATAATGTTTATCATGATAAATATCATTTATTTTTTTATAATAATATTTATTATTAGAAATCCATTTATTAAAATAAATGTTTTGTTCAATAAAAAATTAAATTAATTTCTATAAAAACAAATTAAACAAAAATATCTCCAACTAAAACTTATTGTACATATAACTTTAAAAGTAAAGCTTATATTAATATTTATAATATAGAGCTTATAATAAAGCTTATATTTTATTATGACATATAAACTAAAGCTTATATTATAATAAACAATATTATAATATTATAATAAATAATATTTATTATTATAAATCGTGTTTATTTTAATAAATTGTATTTATTATAATATATAATATTTATTATTATAAATGGTATTTACTGTAATAAATGGTATTTAAAATTATAAATTGTATTTTTAATAATAAATGGTATTTATTATTATAAATCGTATTTATTATAATAAAACGTATTTATTATTATAAATCGTATTTATTATAATATGATTTAAGATAAATGCAATATTTTGTATACGAATTACAATACCCGATTTATTGCAATTAAAACGGACTGTTGGATTTGAATTTTACGTTAAGCATATTCTCTTAGATAAAACCATAGAATGTTTACAACATGACATCGGAAGATATAGATCTCTTAATAGATAAATCTTTTGACCGTATAAACAGTGAAGATAAAAAGGGTAGGTTAGTAGTAAATGATATTTGTTGAGTGCAATGTGATAAAATCAGCTAACAATATCAAACCATTTATGACAGTAGTAAGACCGCTGTAATAGTATGCTAAACACCGCTGAATGTATTCACCACCAGGTATAGAAGTGACAGAGACCAATGAGATATACAAGGACACATTAACTTTACTTTTTTTGGCTTTAAGATATCTTAGTTTGTTGGTAAATTCATTATGGTTACTCAGTAAATTGCATTATCTTGCTGCCACATCCTTGTCCTTCTTTGATTGGTTGTTTGAATTGACAGTACAAATGTAGTCTACATCGCCTACAAACATTTACAGGTCGTTAAGTTAGCTTCCACTAGCTTCTTGAGACTGGCTGTTCTCTACTTTCAAAAAGTGAGTCGTGAAAGGCGTTCCAACTGTGACATTAATTATTGTAAGAAATTAACATTTTGGCCTAACTTTACCCTTAGTTTAGAGATATCGCTTCTAATCAATTAATCCTGCTAATCGGCGAGACTGTTTACTAAAGATTTGTGATTATGAAGATCATTATGTTCTACCCATCTTACACATTGTAAGGCTCTCCTATATACGATATTTAGCCACATTCAGTGAAGTAAAAACCGGTTCTTCGTAAAATTTTGGCACAGTCGATCCTCATCTACCTGTCAGTTTGTTACCATTTTAGTGTTTTTAATTATTTCGATGTGCCGGTAGTGAAATAAAAAAATATTTTGCTGTTCACTTAAGTCGCGAATATAACTTCTACAAATATCTACCAGTATATATAGTACAGATTCAGTTGTGTCTGATATCGTTGGGGACCAATCAGTTTATACTTGAAATTCTACCAACCAGATTAACCTAACCATACCTCAAATGCATTTATAAAGTAACATAAACAACTCCTAATGTTGTTGTAAGTCCCTGATTCTAAAATACAAAAAAATTTCCTAAAACTGAGATATTATTTTAAATATGCAACAGATCTGGCCATTTCATATTACTTAACAAGGTGCAATAATAAATATTAACAACTAATGATAATAAATTGTGAGTTACTTAGTGATATCTCACTTAGCGGTATCTCCAACATTAGCATTAGCCAGATTCTTACCTTTGTTAATGCCTCTGGCTGATTCTAGTTTGAACCTCTATCTACTACCCACTATTACGAGGTTTTTTGTGGATTCAAAACAGCTTTCCTTTTAGCTCCCTCCACCACAACTAACTAATGCGAATAGATTCTAAAAGCAAATGACTTCATAATTAGTCATAGGTATATAATAATATTATTACGCGGCACGAGTTTTCACGAGTCCCGGAATGTAAAAACGGTGACGAGCCATTGCCGTTTTTTTATTTTTAACCTTATAACATTAAAATATCAGGCAAATTTTGACGTCTGTTAAATACCTTTACTGGGGCATCTGCCTTATTGCACTAATTCCTCTCTGATCTTGCATTTATAAGCAAATTGGGTTGAACAGGTTAAGTTAATCAAGCAATTGAGGTTATAACTCTTCTATTAAACCATGAGTAAATAAATATTTTCTTTATATTTGTGAATGTGTTTATTTTTTCAACTTAATAGATACAAATATCTATAGCGTTTCCCCTATTTCATACTAAGATACTTTAATTTGTAGTTTAATGCTTGAGTTGTTCATTAACAACATGTTGACTTAGTATGACACGGATTTATTGTCTGCAATAAATTTTATGGTTTCATAGCAAAAGGCTTTAAATTGAGATCAAATTAAATAGAAAAAAGTTTAATTTAAATCAGATGTTATTACCTTTTAAATAAATCGAATTTAATTTTGTTTTTCAATACATTTTCGCATTTAAAATCAAAAGTTTTTAATTTTGCCGATCCAAAAATATCTCCATATAGACTTATTAATAATATACTACTATACTAAAAAAATTGAATAAATTCCATTAAAGTCTTGAAATATTAATATTACCATTTGTTTAAATAATATATCAAAAAAAAAAAATTAAAATACCTCTTACGATAAAATGAAATTGAACTATTATTTTATATAGCAGCAATATCGAAACCAGTCGATTTCATTGACATTTGATAAATAATTCATATAACTTGTGAAGAGGGGAATCAGACACTGTTTGTCTTTTTTTTAATTCTAAGAAATAGCTTAAGTTCATCGTCGTTTGATTTTTGTCAAACTTATTGAAGTTCATTACCTATTTCCTAGAAATCTTCGTTCGTCGGTCTTATAAACCAAGAGATTGGTTTGCGTTGAAATATATAGAAGAAAGAACAACAAATATCGCTTCTTTCATTTAACTAATTAAAATTATTCAAACGTTTTTGGGTATTAGATGTATCTTTCACTGCATTATAAATATCGTGGCTACCTTACTATTAATCACATGGTTAGAGTCACTGATCTTTATAAGAGCATATGGTGAAAACAAATTTTCTCCGTTCAGATCTGTAAAAAACCCTCCAAAAAAATCTGCCTTCACAATCCAATCCGCTGATATTTCCCATGGATAGATCTCAACCATGTAGTGCGAGGACTGATAGACCTACAAAATTCCTGAGTATTCTATTCAAGCGAAATTTTCGCAATGTTTCAGTCTAAAGATGACAGTACCTGACTATTTTTTTTATGTGATTAAGATTTCTATCAGTTTGCATACGATAGTAAGTAGATCGTTATTGCAGATGGTCATTGGTCAAAAGATATTGTAAATGTGTTAAAGACATTTAGACATAGATATGTGATATTGTATGCGTTTTGTGAACTTCCAGATCTTTAAGTCAAATAGCAGAATTGTTCTATCCAAATGTTGAAGATTTTGAGTTTGGTACGGTTTAAGAGAGGTTTCATGAACCAAGTCTTTTTCATTTTATGGAAAACACAGCGCATTTTATTAATCTTAATATACCCTTTTAAGACCATTCATGTGAAATTAATAAAAAGTATACAGTACACAAAAATTTAAACAAAATGATAATGATAATAGTGATGATTACTGTTATTTACTCTGAAATGAAAACTACATATTAAAGCTTCCTTAAATTAGTTATGTAGGTTAATAGATAGGTTAATATTATAACTAGAGTAAAGCCATCATTATTGTCGTTTATAATGTCACATTATTTTTATTAGCTAATTAAGGAGTAGGTTATATATTTATACTGACACTTTCATTGTACCTTCTAAGGTATACTCTTGTCCAGATATTAATGGCTTCAACAACAAAAAAATAAGAATATCTAGATTAAATTAGAATCAGATAATAATAGGAGTAAAAACTATTGTAGTTGCTGCTGCACCAGATAGCTTTTGTAAAAAGATCAATGTAAAGACCAATGTAATAAAATCTATATGATCAAAGATGACTATGTAATTAAAATTAATTACAGAATAGATATTATTTTTCTACAAGAATGCTCCAATATGAAAGGAAATGATAACACTTGTAAAATTGTAAAGTATTTATTGTTAATTTATAATTTATCATCGCATTAATATCTTTTTGATAGATTAATTCTTTTTAACAGGACTTTAGTATAGTCAAAACACTTTATTGGGATTACACTAAAAACAATTTAATTTGTTTAGGATGATTTTTAATAAATCTACTATATGAATATAGAGATACTCTTTAAAAAAAATATTATTGAGAAAAAAAATTACTCACATTTGGACATTGTCCCTTGCATAATTGCACACCACAACTAACGTGCAACCGTTCACGATCTGGAAACTTGAAAGCTGGAAACGTTGCATAAAATGATTTCTCCACTAAATCATCTTCGAGTTGTCTTGACCAAGTTTCTTCAACTGATTTAATACGGGTTTGTAAGGGAGGCATTACCTTTAAAATAAAATTATATAATTTTAGAATAATAATAAATATATTTTTTTTCAGGAAAAATTAGTTTAATTATTGTCGAAGTGCAATTAAAAAAATAATTTTAAAAAATGTATTACCAGAGCTTAACTATAACTTTTACATATCTTGAGAAATATAATAAATATAATATGCCAGGATAACAATAATAATATTTTGTTTATTTTAGGAGGTCAATTTTATTACTTGCGGAACAGTACTTAATATTCTTATAAATATGTCAAAGAAGTACATACAGTTCATAAGTTACTCGATCAAAGATAAGTAGAGGAAGAGATAATTTGCAGAGACAACAAACTACAGTTACTTAAAACGTTATATATTCATCTATACGAAACCATGCCTATGCAAATCAAATATAAATACAAATCTATTTTATAAAAGCGAAAAATGTAAAGAAATATCACTGCAATCCAATTAAAAATACAGAATTTTATGGACATTGTTTATACCGAATTTTGAAAATCTGATGATCCCAAAGAATATCCAGTACTGTTTGGCAGAATCGGTCAACTTAGAGCAAAAGAAATATAAAAACAGGATTAAGCATATTATCAGAAGACCAGACAGCAAAATTACTTATCGGGAATTGTGATGTAAACTACAAAGTTATCTACGCTTCAGCCATAACTTCGAGTAAAATTATAGAAGGCGAGTTAAGAAACGCGGAATATTCGTAGCACGACTATGTTGCCTATTCTTTTAATAAAGTGAATTAAAAGGAAAAGTCTTTATACCTTCAAAAACCTGCTGGCGTATATTATTTATACAAAAAAAATTAATTATTCGAAACTTACAATATATATTGTCCCAGGTAAGCAAAAATATAAAAATACTAGAATGTGGCGTGGCAATTAACTTTTATTGTACATTGATTATTTGAAATTATATTACCAATATATTATAGAATTATAAATATTATAGAATTATTATAGAATTTATTCAAAGCATATAATAATTAAGATCAATTTTCGATTTTCCGATTTTTATAGTGTCATTCAGAAAGATATTCATATCTTTTTCGGAAATAGTTAACCATTGCATATGAATATGATCAGGACTATAACTTTTCATTTTCACTTCGACAGATAGACACTTTCAGAACTTAATTTCTAAGTCAATTGTCAATTGCCACGAGTCCCTCAATAAAATTGCTCTGCAATTCAATATAAATATAATTTTGTGTCTAGAGTACAGCGACATAGAGAATAACTATATCGTAATCATTCACTCATATTCATCAGACAGCTGGTCTTCATTAGTGATATGCAAACTTGTATTTAACCCAAAGACCTAAAAATCACAGAAACTTTTATCCACATGTTGGAAGTTTATAGATAGGTCAACACAGATAAATAATGAATATCTGACTATTGCAGTCAGTGTGGCTTTACGAAGGTAGAAGATCGCCAGTAACTAATTTGGGTAAGCTCTTTCTAATACTGCTGCAGTAATGCAGTAGTACTTATGCTTAAATTCAGCAATTTTGAAATTTCTTGGTATTCTATAGCAAACAATAATAACTAAACATTTAAATATTGTTAATATTTGTGAAATATTAATTGCTTTTTAACTTTAAAAAAGTTTAAAGGGTTTGTAAAATATACTTCTAGAATTTATCAATTCTCTAGGAAATCAATTCCTTAAAATTGATCTGTAAACTTAATATCCTAGGTGTTTTTATATGATAGTCTAAAGATTGAATTTTATAGATTTTAGTTATTACTGAAATATTACGTCAATTTGTAGAAAATAAAACTTTTTTCCAATGAAATATAAATTTTTGTTGTACTTCAAATTATTGTACATGCGATATAGGTATATCCCATATATATTGCATTGCATAAATAATAATATTTTGTTACAGTAACAAAACTTACACTTACACTTTCGCTTTCTGCATTAATTTTCTACATCGGTTGCAACAGAAATTATATGAAGCGTAAAGAAACACTATACCCACATAGTGTGAAATACGTAGTGTAACGAACTCTTAAGATTTTTTTATATTAAATAATATTTTGTTATCGATATGTTTTTAATTCAAAGTAATAGTATTTATACCTTACATAAGTTTTGTAATTATTTTTAATATATTTAAAGTGTTATTTTTTCCTGCACTATCCTAAAGAAATTGTTAAGACCAAGATAGAAAATTACTGCATAATGAATAAGAAGATGATGGATAAGATTGAGAATGAAGATATTTAACACGCATTCACGATAGGCATTCAATCCATAGACCTCGATATCTTTCAAAAAATTCACTTATCACTGGTGGGATATAATACATACATATTTGACCATAGACCTCGATATCTTTCAAAAAATTCACTTATCACAGGTGGGATATAATACATATATATTTGTCCATATTACTTGTATTTATTGTGAAATACCGGGAAGATTACATAGGGTATTTATTAGGATATAGTTAGTTCCAAAATTTTAAATTCTCTCCAGGTGCATATTGATGAGCTGACTAACTACTTTCATAAAAGAAAGATTAAACTAAATGAAGAAAAAAGAAATGTATTTTTTATCACTTGTAAGCGCTATCGAATCCATGAAGGCTAACAGTCAAAAATATCAGCCTTGCGTAGAGTAATATGTACAATGAAATACCTGGGCTTGACTTTTGGCAATAAATTGATTTAGAATCATCACAGCAAAAAAAAAATAGATTATTTATACACAACCTTTAAATTAACTTTAACTACTCTACAGATGAAGAGTAGAAAAACAGAATACTTATCTATAAACACATCATCAGACTATCATTGCTGTATAATTGTGTCGCCTTTAGTAAGCTTATTAAATTTACACTTTTGGAACTCCAAAATACCACTTTAATAAAGATTTTAAAAATTCTATCGTAGGTCAGATACTCTGATCACTAAGCACATTAAGGGTAAAGTGTCCAAGTTATTCATCAAAATATAAGGTCATCCCAAATTTTGTTTAGCTCCACTAAGAAGAATTCAAGCGACAATGGGAAGATTTTCTGATATCCCTACTGTCATACTTTCAAAAGATGGTTTCACAATAAAATATATAGGTTCGTCTAGTGTGGATCTTATGAGGGATACCTAGACGAGAAAAAAATGTGCTGGTAGTTACTAACTTGGTTAGTTCACAATTCACAAAAGAAAAGAGTATTTTTTTTGTTAATACAAACAGAATTACATATTGTTATACTAAACTATTTATTTGCCGTGTAAAGAAAGTTATGTCTTTCCTAATATATCCAATATTAATATATTATATAAATTATAATAGGTGTAATATAAAGAAATACATTATTTTTGCATGTAATTGAAGGCTCATTTATCATAGTTAGAATGATCCGATTTAGTTAAAATATGCGCCGTTTTGTTCGATAACTTGTTGCCATTTTGAAGGTACTTTTATTATGGATCTCTCATAGCAGTCCTCCTGCCTATTGTTCTTTGATTTCTTTTTACTAGTAAAATTGTTCGCCATGGACAGGAACAGAAGGTAATCACTTGGTATAATATATATACCTAGTACCGAGTCATGTCAACGTTGCGCTATAAAGGGACATTTTTGAGAGATAAACAACGTCGTACAACGTGAATGCAATGTAGGTATAACAGTATACAATTAATCTTAACAATCTGTCTATAATAAATAGCCGGTAGCAAAAAATAAACATGTTAACTTTTCACATAATAATTACTATAATAGAACATTTTTTTATAAATGATATAATAAATAAAAATTGTTAAGTGCAAAAATATTCTAAGAATTAGAATTTTTATTAAATATTTAATTATATCTGGAATGTCAAGTTATTTGTGAAAAGTAACGTTTTTTATTACTGACATAAACGACTTTTTCTATTGAAATGACGACAAAACATTGGTAAATTCTTTCATTTCTTCAGTAAAAAATTTACTAACGAAGTAACTGAGTTTTTTACACATAATTTTCATTAAGAAATTAGATAATAAATTACTAAAATCGGACAAACAGAAACCGTATATAAGAATATATGCTTCATAATATAAATTATATTCATTTGAAATTAATTACATTAAATTCTCTACTGACAAATTGGATAGTTTTAAATGAATACACAAAACAATTAAATCGCAACATTAACGAACGAAACGCAAACCTGTGTAAAGTTTTTGCGAGGAACCAAGACACAAGTATCTTCAAACAAAAATTCCATGCCAGGAGAAAAATGCCACATGGAAGCTACTCCTGACAATACAATAGCGAACATCACATTGCATCAGGTGCGACATGTCCGCTACTAGAAACACAGATAAGTTCAAACTGGCATCAGACTGAAAGGAAAACAGAACTTACGTTAAATTCCTCATGTCCTCTTAAGTGTAATTACTACGAACTACCCACTGGTTAAGGATGAGAGTCGACTGAAAGAAATGGACGCATAAATAAAATCGAGAAAGCTTATACATATACAATATATATGCGTGTCGGTATTGATTGGGTATTTGAAAGAATTTATGTCCGTTAATAACTTCCGGACATATATTTATTCACAGCACTTAAAGTTTGAGTTACTTTCACCTATTTGCAGAAAGGTTCATAGCATTACTTTCATATTCTTGTGTCTAGTCTATTTAGCTTTATCTTATTTCGGGTCGACTCTAAACGGTATTTTCCGGACGCTCCTATAATAACTTTTTGTTCACGCTTTTGCATCGCAAATCGCTTTTTATTTAAGTTTTCAGTAATCCACCTGTTTTTCTTCTTATTTTCTTCATCTGCAAATCTTACCGAACCGCATGGTAATGCAGCTTTCTCATTTAATGGCAGCTTGTCAGCGAAGATGCATTTCTTACAACTTTACAATATACAAATTGTGTTGTGTTTTGTTCAATATTGTCAGTCCTCTAGCCTGTTGCTGCATTGTCATTTCTATTACATTAAGTTTCTGCTCTAATATTTCTAGTCCAGCCGGGATGCAT